ACAGTTTATATTGCTTGGGCCTTTTCTGTAAATGGGAGTAGCCTGATCCCTTTGAATATGATAAAGCCGTATAAATAACATGTTTTACATGTTCATTTTGTAGCAAGAAGAATTGAGGGAAAAAAATGGAAAGAGTAGGGATGCATATGTATGAGCCTCGTACATGACAAAAATTTGTTCCTTTAAATTGTGGCAATGATCTGCTTAAATTAAAACATTAGTACAACATTGCAACAACTTACCAAAAAAAACGAGTGAACCAAGTCAAACTTGGCCCCCGATTTAATTAAAATAAGGGACAAATTCTTTGTTGCCACGATATCTAGATTTTTCAGTGTGTTGTGCAGGGCTCCTGAAGTATACAGCAGCTCATGAATGTGAATTACAAATATGGGACAAGGTGATCTGTTCTTAGGATTTTAAAACTGTTCTTTTACATATCAGTGATATTACAAGGCTCACCAACTCACAATTGCTGTCATTACTATTTACATTTTTATCTGTTAAGCAGTTGTAATGAAATCAAGGCCCATACGTTCAGTTATGCTACGCATAGTCTCTGGGTCAGTAAGGGATAGATATTGCAGACAGAGATAGTCTTCCCAGTCCAAGCCAGTCTGATCCTGAAAGAGTCCTTTTTCGGCAAGCTTGAGAACCAAAAGAGAACTCTTAAGTAGTAACCAATTAGAAAGCACAGAGATCTCCATTTGGTTCTGCTGAAAGAGTCCCTGTCGAGGACCCCAAAGCAGGGCCTGGAGGACACCCACCACATCGGCTAATAGTAGCCCAGGTTTCTCAGATGTAAGCTGGGTGACCAGCCACAGCAAGCCTGGAGTGTATGGAGTGCCTTGAGGCACCTTCCACACAGATGAGCAACTGTCATTGAGATGTAGGCAGTACCCTAGCAAAGTCCCCAACTGGAACTCTTGGGATTTTGCTTCTTGCAAAACCTCATCCTCAAAATGACTCTTCAGGACCAAACGAGGTGTGCCCCACTTCTCCCATAAGGTTTGACAAATCTCACTTTTCGTCCTTTCGTAGTCTGTGTGCTCTTTGGATACTGTGATTAGTGGTATACCTGTCAAAGTTTCTGTATTCATGCTTCCCCTTTTCATCTCACTAGAGTAATCATTAGAGTCAGCCTCTTTGCGAGTGATACTAGGCCACACTAATGTCACACTCTGTGGTTTCAATTCCCTGTGAATGACTTTAAAATGTCCCAGTTGCTGTAGTCCTAGCACCAACTGGAGGGCAAGAAGACAAAGCCTCCTCTCATAGACCTCAGGAAGGGTGGAGTGCAAAGAGTGTCCTTCCTCAACAAAGTCCTCCAGTGTTCCCAATGGAAAGTCTCTTACCACAGTCACACTAACACCTTTCTCCAGAAGATCAGAAACTGTTTGCTGTTGGCATACTTCAGAGGTGTCCCCATGTAAAGGCTCTGGAGTTGTCTGAGCATGCTGTGAGGTGGAAGTTTGATCCGTAGCTGTGCACTGTGGAAAATGGACCAACCCTTGTTCAGTGTTAGGATGTGGCATGGACATGGTGCAGTCTAATACTGAATCCCCTCTGTGAACCTGACAAAATATTTAGGAGTCATTTTGAGTTTTCACACATAAGTAACATGCAACATATAAGTTCTCCAAGTCCTTTACCAGAAAACTGCTGCACTGTGACTAAAAACATGCTCTAAAGTCTTGGTAGCACATGTCAAACTGTTGATGCTGTTGCTCAACACCTGGTATGATGAAGGAAGTGTGTTTTTTTTTTTTGAGGGTTTTCTACTGCAAGCAAGGGCTGCCTTATAAGGGTGTGCATTCTGCTTGTGGTTCAGGGGCTCTGCCTGGGAAGCACTGATGGCCTACTTACAGCTTTGGATTGAAAACCATTGTGCATTATCGCCCACATATACACAAACAAATTCAGATGGCTACAGTTACTAACTAGATTCCTTGTGCATCTAGTTTAGATTGATGGTCTCTTATGTTATTATACTGTTGATGTTCTTACCTTTGCTGAAAACAGTCTCCCAGGAACCTTTAGACAACACACCAAGTAGAAACCATCCCTCTCAGTCCACTGCTGCTCACACAAAATAAAGTCATTAGGCTGAGAAGTCTTTGCCATCTCCATTTCCTGTTCATTTAGGAAGATGCTCGATTCAATGTTCTGCAACGTGTTCTTGAGAAACTGAAGATAACACTCTTGGATGCCCATGGAAACTTGCTCATGGCTCTGGAAGCTTCTAAAGACACTTTGAAGTTGCTCATCTGGTGTATCAAAGGTCACCTTGTGCAAGGACAGACCCTGATATTTCTCTTCTTGTACCACTTCCTCTTGTAGTGTAAGTGTGTCGTGGAATGGTGTTATCATATATAGGGGATTTTCATAGTTGCAGGTTCTTGTATGATCGTGGTAAGGTGGGTTCAGAGTCTCCTCTGGGAGGGATAGGGTTCTCGTCAGACTCTTTTTAGGTACTGGAGGTGGAGTTTCATCTGAGAAGAATCTCATCTGGTGATTTTCTGAGTGACAAGATATTGTTAATACATTTAGCAATGGAAGACACAACAAATACACATAATGCATGAACACATGCATGCTCAGATGTTGTTTCATGTCATGTATTATGGAACCATGAAATGAAATTCAGTGGAAACTGTCTCAGTTCCCACATTACCATGAAACACAGACTACGTGTGGTTTAGTTGTCTGTCTAGTGGCTTACTTTATTGGTTTCAGGTGTTACTTCCCTCAATAATACTTTTGTATTCGAGAAATAAAGTGTAAAAGAACATAAACAGAAATGGGGAAGGCTACGCATGTGAAAAGTTACAGAAACCAGTTCTCATTTTAGTTAGATCTTTATTATTTGCCTCAGAACATTTTTGTATTAAAGTATACTTGTAAACATGTTGTCAGTGCTCACCATAGCGATGATGTATTGGACAGTGGACTGCATTACAGTAAGTAGGAGTAAACACTTCAGTAAATGGAGACACGGGGGTCTGTGGTCCAGGCAAGTGTAGATCGCCCACCTTCAGCTCTAGATCCTGGATGGAGCTTGAAGAAGACCTGCTCCTTAACATGTGCACATTCTTGTATGTCACAAACATGTATTTACAAAAATCCAGAAACATTAGAACATTATGAAGTTACTAGGCCAGACCTGCTTCGCTTATGTGATATTTCACTATACTGAGCGACGAGTAGCTTTCATGGCATGAGGTTTCCTGTAACACAGCTCACATGTGTGTCAAGTCATGACACTAGCATCTCTTACCTGTGCTGTTTGATGGGCAGTGCAGGTGGCGATGTCCCTCCTGATGCTCCCAGGAGAGCATAGTCTGTTGCTTGATGCATTGTAGTTTAGCGTGTGACAGCGTGAGCGTTCGTGAATATGGTTCACCCACCTCAAACTGTCAGTTCCTGTACTTTTCTTCTAGTTCATTAGCACGCAGTTACCTCACACTCTTTCTCTGTGGCTGTCTGAGACATTGCCACAGCATATCTAGCATCTGAGGTTGGTAGCGGAAAAGCAGAGTGCATTTTGTGCACATCTGTTCACTGTACTTTCAAATAAGGAAACTATGAAATAAGGAACTAGTTCTTACTGTCATTGGATGACATGCTAATGTAGCTACACTGTGCTCGTGTACTGAGTAAAATTTGTGTTGAGAGACAAATCTAAGTGTTTTTTCTCACTACGGTGGTACGACCCAGGTCACCAAGGTGAAGAGTTGGGCACTGAGCATTTCTATAAATTTGGGAAACATTTTATAATTTTGATATTATATATCTATATTTTCTACAGAACATAAAATTAAGCAACTTAAATTACACCAGTCACAAACTCTTTGCCAAACTGATTTGAAAAGTGCTTGAACGGAGATAACCGTCCACTTTGCAAGATACCAGTGACAAGAATAGATATGTGAATTTTTTTTCCAGCATTGTCGTTATCAAGTCACTAGGGGATGCTGTTGTCTCTTTATACACAATGAGCAACCTCGACTTGAGACCTTGTTGTGGCTCAAATGGGCCCAATTAAGAGTTGATTCAGTTGAGTTTCCGATGATTCAGTTTAATTTGACTGCACCATTTACACAGGACTTTTAACAATGCACAATATCCCATTTGAGCCTTACAGAGTGGCACTATCAGGAACAAAAACCTCCCCACGTCTAAGAATAAAACCTTAGGAGGAACCAAAAATCAACACAAAAGGTAGAACCAAGATGTATACCAATTTAAGTGCCTATTAGTCAATTTTTTCTTTCACTTTGGAATGGTGAATAATGATGACGTGTGACCTGGTTGGGTCATATGCAATTTAATATTTGTTACCCCCTGTTGGTAGATTATGTAATTACACCATATGCACTGTTTAAGGGCTTATCCTGTGCACTAATTGTAAGTCTACTGACCTTTAGTATTAATGTTATTATTATTTAAATATTGGGATTGCATCCAACTGTTTGTGTTCAGATGTGATACTTCTACATTTCAAAATACAGCATAGTAAAAACATTGTATTAAATACATCTGTAGGTGGACCTAGATCATTCAGCAAAAATAACAAATACAAAAAGTGGTGTCAGACTGAATTAAAAAAGCTCCATATATAAAGTCTCCATTCAAACTGAGCTCTGTGAACAATCTGTAGTGTCTTCAGATGGCTCTGGATGTAGCTCTTTCGGCTGGAGGGTGAGAGTGAGTCAGAGAGAGCTTATTGTTTGGGTCTTTTGTCGTCATTATGTATAGCTCAGTCTGCTTCAGAGTGCTTGAAAACACCCATAGAAGACCTATGACTAAACAGATTTCATAAATTTCCTTAAAAGGTGAATACGGTTTATGAAATACTAGCTGCAATAAGACAACAAACAGCTGATGAAAGGATTAAACCTAAGGTGCAAACAGCAATTTGTAAAGTAAAAAGGTGAAATGTTCTTGTTTCTTCCAGAATCCAGTATTTTTTTTCTAACATTTTTTGCTCCCACAAAATGGGCATATTTCTCCATAATAGTAATCATTCCATACTATGAACACATAGAAAATATAAATTACAAAACACTCATGCAATAGCATAATCTTGGGTGCAGTGTAATTTATGTAGGGCTATTGAAACTTCAAAACAAATATTCATCCAGAACTCTTCTTGTTTTTTGCATTTTATTTTCGACGAGATAACTGTTGCACATTAGCCTACTCTACTTATGCTGTCATAAAGTCTAATAGAATCCAAATTTGATTTTTATGTTCTGATGCGCAAAATGAGTGCATTGTGTTCATGAAGTGCAGATCAAAAGATGAATTGCCCATGCAGTTCTAATTTAAGACATGAGTGCAAGGAAGAAGCCCTCATCAAAATGAAAAGAAACAAGGAAAGAGTGCAAGGGTGAGGAAGGGACAATAACAAAGCAAGCATTGAAAAGACCCTGAAGTGGACCATCATTAAGCACATATGCTTCTCTCAGTAAAGAGACTCTTCACATGCTGTGGTCCTGAGTGTTGGGGGTTCCTTACGCACACATTTTTACCACAGATTTACGTCAACAGCCTTGTAATGTAGTCACGTCAATACTGACAAACTTCAAACTGTCTTAACCCAAGCGGATTTGATAGTTTTATAGTATAATTTAAAACCAAAGAAACATATTTCCATAAAATGTTTTGTTTAAAATATGTGTTTGTGCTATATTTCTTTGTAAAAAGTCAGTTGAATTTACATTTTATCTAATGACATTTCTACATTTTAATTGGCTTTCCAGGGCTTTTGGAGTCATTGTAAATCAGAAGACTGAGGCTTCTGAAACAATTTGTATGTTCAAAAAATTTATTTTCTTCATGAAGTCATGGATAACATCTATAATGACTAATCTGAACATTTGAACATGAATGCATAAAATAAATAAATTCTCACACAACAAAACAGACAGCATCAAAAACTAGTGCATTTACAAGGTACTTGATTGTCATGTTATTGAGCAGCACTGCTCTGGGTTTGTTCATTTGAGGTTTGAATTGAAATCGAAAGACTTTCTGTCTGCTTTGCGAAGAATTCCCCAAAGGCTTCGCTTGCTTTTGCTGACCTGTTTCACTGACTCATTGCTCTGAGCCATCTCGATTCCAGTAACGCTTTGGCTTCTAAAGAAAGGATGAGCGACGGGAGACTGATGTGGAGGGGTGCTGGCATGTGTCTTGATGGGTGATGTTCTGACAGTGATGCTTCTTTTCATTTCCAGCTTAGGGTGTCTGGACGGGTTTATCTCTTCATCATGACCCCAACGTCTATGGCCCTGGAAGAAGAGTGCCTCTTCGTTGGCCATTTGTGGGCTTTTGCTCAAAGTTACAAAGCCGTATGGGGTGGTGACTTTGCGAAGGTGAGGTAAAGAAAGAGCCGCTCGGCTGGCAGGGTCAGAGCAATGTTCAGCTTCCACCAGAGAACAGTTGCTCTGAGTTTGAGCCCGTTTAACATCTGAGGTGGCTTTTCTTCCAGGTACAGGAGATACACTGAAACCTGAGGATGATGATGACGATGAAACTGGAGATGAAAGAGGATGATAGGATCCACTAATGTCATCAAAGCTCCCCCAGTCCTCATCTTCTTCACCTTGCCGTTCTTTCTCTTTCACTCTGGATCTATACCCATCCTCCAGGGCGAGTTTAGGAATGGTGAATTGTGGGATGCTGTCCGGTGTCACGACGATACTGCGTATGCTGTCTTTACTCCCGCGGTTTTCTGACGCCAGCGAACTTCCGAACGAACTACTTCTCGCGGCGGCCCATTTGAGCGCGAGTATTCCCGCGGAACTGTGTCTGCGCGGGAACGGGAATCCCGCGCTTTCTGACTGGCTTTCGGCGCTCGTCGCCGTGCAGTTTCCAGCACTGATTGTGCGTGAAACCGTCATGTTATTGTGCAATGCTGCCATTCTTTGCTCTGTCTTACTATATAAAATATAGAAAAAGTGTTGTTTGTTACCTGCTTGTATAAAGTTGTGACTGAAAGAGCAGCCTCAGAGATTTATAGTCCTCCAGACCCTTCAAATCCGCCCCTCTCTGTTTGTTTCAGATGTGCGTAAATGTGAGGAGGGTGCCGTGAGCGGCGGAAACATGGCCAAATGTGGCTCTCTCCCGCCTGACGAGTCTCCTCCGTGACTGTCCGTGACTGTCGGTGATAACAGAGACGACACCCTCACGAAATTGTAGCTTGGTAACCATAGTTACTGCAATTACTGTTAATAGAATAAACCGGAAAACAAAACCAAACAAAATGGCATAAAGATTCTGAAAACTCTTTGAAGAGATATCCTATGATGTATTAATTTTAAGTCTATTTTAACATTTAAACATTTAACATAACATTTAAATGTTTACTTATCCACCTTTTTCTTCAACGCGGAAGTAAGCCTATGGGTGAGACTTCCGGTTCATTAGCCGCTAAACTAAATCTTAGTGAACTTAAAATAAGCGATGCATCCTCTGGGTCGGGGTACTTGTTTAGGTTGGTTAATACTAGCCTGTTTGCTCATCAACAGACTAGTATTAACAGTGTAAACAAACCACCTCAGAACATTTTGGCATTATAATTTTTTTATTAACTTGATATGTTAATTAAATAAAAATGACATTGAAAATAAAACTAACCTAAGGTGGTCTGCTGGTCTCAATGGACACGCACACACACTTAATCTATGCATACTGGGAAACCAGCTAAACAATAGGCTAAAGCACCAAGCTGGCAGAGAACAGCATAACCCAGCTAGGACTAAATAAGCGATGCATCCTCTGGGTCGGGGTACTTGTTTAGGTTGGTTAATACTAGCCTGTTTGCTCATCAACAGACTAGTATTAACAGTGTAAACAAACCACCTCAGAACATTTTGGCATTATAATTTTTTTATTAACTTGATATGTTATTTAAATAAAAATGACATTGAAAATAAAACTAACCTAAGGTGGTCTGCTGGTCACAATGGACACACACACACACACTTAATCTATGCATACTGGGAAACCAGCTAAACTATAGGCTAAAGCACCAAGCTGGCAGAGAACAGCATAACCCAGCTAGTTCCAACAAACCAGATTCAACTGGATTTATTTCTTTACTCTTATTTACTTGTGCACATTTTTTGCTTATTTTGTGTAGATTAAAAGCTGCATGCTGGTACTTGTTTGGTTAGTACTCAGCGTACTCCTTTAAAATGTTAGATTATTAAAGTCTCCATGAAATCAAAATTTACAATATTTATTTTGTTGGTGCACATTGTTAGTCTTATGGTGAACAGTTAATCCATCCAAGTTAATCCTCTGAACATTTTTTTTGTCTTGTTTGTTTAACTTAAAGGGATAGTTCACCCAAAAATGAAAATTCTGTCCTTTACTCACCCTCATGTCGTTCCAAACCTGCTTTCTTATGTTGAGCACAAAAGATGGTATTTTGAAGATTGCTGGTAATCAAACAGTTGGTGGTTGCCATTGACTTCCATAGTATTTTTTTTTTCCTACTATGGAAGTCAATGGCAACCACCAACTGTTTGATTACCAGCAATCTTCA